GCATTTCAACAGCCAGGGGCGCGAGATTAAGATTTTCCCTTCTTTCCTTACTGAGCAGGATGCCAGCGCTTTACAAAAAGCTCCCGTGTTGATCACTGACGACATTTTAGAGCCAAACGCCCTTTATTCACAGCGTACAACACCAGCACGCAAACAGTCACCCGTAACACCCTTGACTGTGATTACAAACAAAGAACATCTTATTGCTTTTTGAAATATTTTTACCTTCCAGCCTCATCTTCCGCTCCATCCTGGCCTTTTCCCTACTTGCAGAGGGCTCTTAAAATTATTGTGCTTCTCACCGGAGGTCTCCCACCTCCATAAAGCACTTTGAGATCTTTGGATGAAAGGTGCAATCTATTTTGAGTGCAAAATACTACATATGAATTCAACCTCCGTACAGGATATCACGGGTCCAGTAAAGCCGTCCTGTTTGGTCTCCCCCTATGTATCACTTTATAGCCACGGGGGTCAAACAGGAATGACAGGGAAGGTACCAAACCTGGAACAAAGTCCAACCACTTGAACGTATTTCAAATATATTCTACAAACTATTTTATAAAAAGCAACACGGAAAGAATTTTGCTTGTTGTACACGCTCCTACCATGTGCTCAAAACTGGGAAGTACCAGAATTAAGGCTGCCTGCCCTGCTGCCAGCCGCATTATCAGTCTGGAATAATCACACGCTTTTGCCCATACAGACTCTCACGCTAAAGACGTTCCACAACAACGCCCTCTAAATGCCTTTTTTACTGGCACTCTTCCCATCCCGAGTGGCGGACAAACTCTGGTACCTTCCCCAGGCACTCCTACGAAGTTTCCCAACGGGGAACAAACGCTAACATGAAAATGCAATCTGAAGGAGTCACTAGGTCGTCGTTTCAATTTTTTTAACACACCATCACTTCCTAGCAGCAATACTGCTTTTAGTTGCAACGGCCTCATCGTGTACGGGATGCTATGTCTCCTCTGCAGACGCACCGAGTCTCCAAACCCAGGACAAACACCCCTCCTCTGGTGCAGACCACCAGGAAAGCTGCTTTCCTGCAGCTCCCAGCTCTGCTTGGTGCCCAACCTCCCACCGCTGTAACGGAGGGGACAGGGACACCAAGAGGACACGTTCTGGGCCCAGGCCCTGCTCTCAGTACCAGCACCGCACCCCCGGGACACCCTCAGCGCACGGGCAGGGCTACAACCGCCCCGTAACGCCCCGGCACGTGGAGACTCCAAGTCTGAGCTTCAGAGGCAATTTTAATTCTGGCATTTCTCAAACGTTTGAGCCCTCTGCTTCCCAGGTTTAAGTCAAGGCCATCTATGGCATCTGGTGCTCCTCGTAGCGAGTTTTAGGACTGGGGGCAACAACAGAGACTAGTTCAGTTTTAATAAACAGGTAGATCCCCGTCAGCGGGGCGAGCACGGCCTCTGCTGCGGCTGTGCCGAGTCCCCCAGCAGGGAGGGCGGGCAGAATCCGGCATCTCTGCTGCCTGTTCCGCTCGGAGATGTCCCTCCTCAGGAGACAGCTCACTCCACGGGGTGGTACACACCCGCGGCACCCACCAGAGGGACTGCCTCAGGAGGTTAACGATGCTCAACCGGAGTGACACTGCTCTCTGCTGCTGCTGAGCACAAGCCATCCTCAACCGGCCTTTAAGGGCCTGGTTCTGTAAAGGAGGATCAAGAGAAAACAGGACACTACTACACGGATCTTTTTCTTTGCGATACTAGTCTCTACAGCGGAACATTCATAACTGCTCAACAGAGTAAAAATATGCTACATCAAAACTGTACCAGATAAAGCAGGACCCCTGTAACAGCCGGAGAAGAGTTTGCAGATAAAAATCAGAATTAAAACAGCCAGCTTAAAAATGTGCCACTGAAAACATGAGAAACACAGTTGGCAGACATTGGAACTGGTGCAATTCATCTTCTTGTTTGATGTTGCTGTTGGCATCTCAGCGTACACACCGGAACGGAACGGCACCGGCCCTCCAGTCCGACCAGCACGGGGTTACGTCCCTTTGGCAGCAGGGAGAGCAGGGAGCCTGCTCAGGTGCTCCCCTGAAGCAGGTCCTTGACTCTTCGGCATTGAGCACTGCACTCCAGCAGGAAACAGGCCGCCTTCCATCTCCATTCTCACCGCAATCCGCTGCAGAAGCAAGGACGCCCGCTGGCATCGGCACGGCAAGGCCAGCGCACCTAACGCCGAGAACACGCCGGCCGGGCGGCCGAGGGAACTGCAGGGCCGTAGGAAGCACAGAAAGCGAAGACACGTGTCTGCTCTCCTGGGCAGAACGTGCTGTTTGGGTGGCAGACAAACTACTGATGGAGACAAGTTCCAAACTAACAGCGTTTCCCAGGGAATTAATTTACAAAGTGCCACTGGTCCTTGGAACCCAGTAGCGTACAGTCTATGTTACAGCAAACACGAGCTCTGCAGCTTGTGTTGGCTCATCTCTGCACTACAGGCAGAAGGAATCGAATATTCAGACTCTTTACAGTAGGCTCCTTCCCTTTTTATACAAAGGAAAATAAAAACATAAGTTAAACCAGCAATAAATAAAACTACAGAACGAGTGTGTCTTGGTCAGCCCCCTTTGTGCATTCCGATCAGACTGGAGAGCTTCTCACAGTGCTCAAGTTTCAGCGATTCTGCTTTCTGCTTTAACCGCTCATCTCTGTAGAGCTTGGCCAAATTTGACAAATCAGACTCTGAAAGATGAAAAAAAAATTAAAAAAATAAAAATACATATTAGGATAAAGCCGCGAGCCTACCTGAAATAACTGTTTCTCAGTGCTTTGGAATCCTGGTGGCACGTTTGGGTTTTTTTAATTCACCTTGTTTCAGCGAGACTGGGCATAGTAACAGCTTTCTTTAGACAGGCCATCAGGTTTAACCAGGCTAGCTACTTAAGAAAAAGTACTTTCTTAATTGCTTGAAAACTCGAATAGTTGCAACAAACCTCTCTGTCAGTGCGCTAGCAGGACAATAACCAAAACAAAAGACTGATTATTGCTGTCTACAGAGAAAACACAAACCATAAAAGGATAGCTTAGAAGTCACGTGAGATTTAAAATGATATTAATGAGCTAAAGAAGAGGTGATTGCCTTAAAATACAAGTATACATTTCACCTAGCAGTGCACAAAAAGGGGCTGGTAGGGTGCCCTTTGCTCTGCTCCACCGCTCCCTGCGCCCGAACCGGACCTCACCTCGCCGCGCGTCCCCCCGCGGGTCTCCCCAGGCACGGGCTGGCGGAGGGGGCTCCTCCACCATCCCCCAGCGGGATTTAAGCGACCACCCGCAGCAAAGGGAGCCCCACCACTGCTGCTCCTGGGGCCGGGCCAGCTGCCCGCAGCCTCCAAGCTAAGCAGGCGCTGCCAGACGTGCGCCCCTGCCACGGAAGCGCGGCTCTCGGGGCAGATCCGTGCTGCAAGGGCCCGCAGCACCCACCCAAATATATACTTTAAGGTACAGATAATTTCTTTTTTGATGTTGCAGTTCTCAGAATTCAAACTGTCTGGCCAGAGGTTTGCCCAGAAGCCATTATAAATCCTTTTAATTTGGGGTTTTTTTTTTGTTACTGGTGACAGGAAGGCGAACAGCTAGCTGGGGGACTTCTCTGAAAGGCTTCTGCGCCCTTTCATTAACAACAACCCCAAAGGTCCTGTGCGTATTTTCCCCTTTCTTCTCAAAAGCAACATGAAACTGAAATAATCCCATTGTTTAAATTATTTCCCCCCCCGAGTAATTCAGAGAAGTTTCTTTTGCTGATTAGCAAAGGAAGTCTTAATTTAGCTTTCTCCCTGAAGAGTAATTTAGATCCAGGATTAGATGCACCTAAGAGAACAGCAGTAATTTGTTTCTGAAAAGGTCAAAATTTCCCTAAGCACAGGCTACCTGATGACACTCAATTTTTCAAAGAGCTTTTATACACCTTACGAGCCCCCCGCTTTACAAAATTATTCAGCGAGGAAAGAACTTCAATAGGTCCTTTCATGCCTTACGTCCTCTGCCCCCCCCCGTCCCACTGAAATTTAAAGCCATTTAACCCTCCATCTATTTATGCAAGAGCTTTATAAACTGACAAGCACGAAGCATGATTAGATCAGGAATCAATTTTCAGGTTTTATGACTGAAATGCCACTCGAGTGGTGCTGGGCACAGAGCCTTGACAAGCCTTCAGCAAAACGAGACTCGGGTAATTGTCTCCGAGTCCAGAGTCCCTGGAGTTCTGCAGTGAAGAATCTCAGTTTACATTTACCCAACTGGGCAAAATTATTCATGGCAAATGCTCGCACTTTTGACAACATTCATTCTGTCACGTCTGCTTATCGTGGTTTTCAATCTTTTACACAAGAGTTGCTCCCTTCAACTTTTTAAGGAAGCCCCAAAGTACTGAATTCCAACTACATATCCCTGTTCCCTGCTTTCAGTTGCCTCCCTCTAATTCTCTACAACTCGGAGCTCTTTGCAGTCTTACTTTCCAATTGTGCTATCCCAGCTGAACAACCTCCTGTAAAAACCTTTGTACTTCACTGCACCAAAGATGTCAGGAGAGCAAACCCCACCGCGGCCGCAGCTTGTACACGCTGTTCTGCTGTGAAGGGAGGAAGACTGTCTGCTGCAGCACTGCAGAAGTGACTGCCTGGACAAGATGCCGATACAGCAGTTAGTTCGGAGGTGTTCATGAAGGCAGCTGGACACCAGGTCACGCTTCTCAAGTCATAAGATCAAAAGCTTTAAAAATCACACTGTTTCTACCCAACCCATGTCCGTTTTGCTGGTGCTAAAGAGAAACGCGCCTCCAGTAAACAAAACAAACTTACTATTAATAGACAGTCAACTGACAAAAAAAAGCGGACTGCACGAAGTCAAACGCTTGAACGAGAATTAATAGACCCAAGCTATGAAGCAGCAGCTGACCGAGAACTGTCAGCACCTCCAGAGAACTTTCCCCCAGCACTCTGCCTTGTTTGTTTTCACAAACTCGCTGTGCTCAAGGCAGCACAGTCTCAGCCGTGCTCATTACCTGCTCGCTGGCCTGGACAGTAATCATACTGAAAAGGTTCTTTTTTAATGACAGTGGTCTCCTCAGTCTGCTGCTCATTGTGGAGCTTGTAAGTCCATCCGCAGAGGGGTGCCTGCTGAAGTCTCTGGACGCTCCCGAGGAGCGCTGTTTTGCAGGCGTCCCTTGGCGGGATCCGTGCGGGATCATCTCCCCTCTCTGAGCAGCAGTCTCTCACAGACTTGCAGACCCCGCTGCCCGTTTTGGGGCACGGCACTCCTTGGCTCAAGGTCTCCGTGGAAGGGACAATAGGGCAACTTCCAGTTGCACAAGGTCAACGAAAAGGATCTTCCTGGAAGAAGTAATTCCACCCCGACAGCAAGCCTATGCAAGAAGCCTACATTTACGGTCATTAACAGCCACATTATACCTAGAGGCTGCTGCTGCCAGCCATAGATGCTCAAAGATCTCAAGTCAAGAGATCTCAAGTCACACCAAAAATGAAGGGATTGTTTGGGATTTTTATGGTCTTATATTACGGGTTCTTTTTCTAACTTCAAAGCCTACATCTGTATATTTCTCTTCAAAAGCAAGACTGGCAACTTTTATGTAAAATAAACCAAAACAATGTCTGGATGAAAACAAAACAACCCTTCCCATCAAAAACCTGTAAATAGCTGGGAGTCAGCAACACGACTGCTACCTCCGGCACAGGATTAAACAGGCCTTGTTGAGGCAAAGCGTGTGCTCACGCAAGGACGCCATCGGAAAGAAACCGTAAACAAGTGCAAAGTCACTTTTCAGTAGCGTGCCCAGGACTGTTTCACACGGAGCAATTTAATGAGCAGGTGAAAGCAGCCTGCCTGCTCCTATTAAACATTTACACAGAAACAACTTCTTCCAGTTGTCCTTCCGTGTTTACTCCTGTGAAGGCGGTGAGCTCTTTGGCTGGAAAAAAAAAAAAATCAGCCACGACATCCCAGCTCCAGCCAGTGCTGGTAATTTGCTTTCCGTTACTTCGTACAGTTCCCGAAGAAGCAGGGCTCAGCTCTGTTTTCAGTGAGCCACATGAGCAGTAATGAACAGGCATGACAAACTCTGGGGTTAAAACGCATCCCTTTACACGGGCACTGATCGGCTTCGGACCGACGTGAGGGTAACGATTCTGAACGCCCTTTCTGCACGCCATTCTGGTTTTTTAAAAGACCATCTTGACTCTGGTGAAAAACACGAGCTCAAACTCACCTAAAGATAGAAAATGCAAATAAGCACACAAACCGAGCACAGACACTCGGTTTGAAAACTGATAGCAGTAACAGAGCCCGCTGCGAGATGACCGAAAGCACCCCAACAGGCCACGGGCTCCCCTTCTGAAGGAAAGGTTAGATCTTCTCGTGGAGCCAGCTGAAGCAAAAATGATTCTGCTCCAGCAAAGGAAACGTGGGATAGGGGATGTCTCAAGATCTTCCCTAGCCCTAACAATCTGTCAGAGCCAGACAAACGTGGTGGATTGTACATTTAAAGCATCACTCGGAGTAATTCGAGCATAGAAACCGAGTGGAAAAAAATGTCTCAAATGGTGAAATCTACTTTCCACTTCTCTCTCAGAATCACCTGCAATGAATTCGGACAGACCCTCAAGAACAGCAAATCCAGTGTTAAGAGCAGATGTGAGAAACATCAGTGCAAGGTTTGAGATGTTCTAAGCATCGGAAAATGAGGCTAAAAATGGCAGTGCTTTGTGAAGCGTAGCCACCACGCGACTGCTGAGGGCTTGTAGGGCACACACGCGTAACGAAAATAACTTACTTTGCTGCTTCTCCTTCCAGCAGCTGGTCTGAATATAGTCTATGTAATCTTTTTCAACCGTTTTCTCTAGCTCTTGAAGTTCTGCTCCTTGATAATTCTTTTCAAAGTTTTTATCGACATAGTAAGGCACCTGCAAGTTCTCTGTTTCTCTACTAACAACGTGGCCTATGGACCTGTGAAAACATCATGAGAAAACAGACTTTTTAGCAGCTCAAATATAAAGAAACCAAGAGATGTTTCTCCACGTTAGCATTTCCAGAGGACAGTATTGTATTTACAACCTCTTTAGTTACCTCCTGCAGGACCACAGCTCCCTCAGCCATCCGGTAAGGAAATTACAAGCCTGAGGCACAGCAAGCTGTGCGCTGCAAACAGAATTCACCCCC